GCCACGGAAGAGATGCGCAACTGTGCCGAGATCGTTTCAACCAGCCTGCAATCCTATCTGGCTGCGGAGTTGTCTGCGGCCCAGTTTTTCTGCATTTCTCGGACAGGTAACCGTACCTCGCGCCACTTGTTGGGCAGGATTATTGAAGCCGTCGGCCCCGCCTGGTTACACCTGACGGAAAGTGAACGCGTGAGTTCTGTTGGTACGGGTCGTTGTTTTTCTGCAGTGTGAGATTGCAGAGACTGTATGTCATCCCTGCTGTCAAGCCCGCCCTCGCTTCTCACCTACTTGTGTCGCGAGTCTCCACGCCTGAGGTGGCAGTAGTTTATAGTGAGACAGTTTCGTACAGTATCTAAGTGTAGAACAATAACAATACACCCGGACTTGGTTGTGGGCAGTGTCTGCCTCACTAGTCACGTGCAAGTTCTGCGTCCACTCAGTTGGGCACGCGATGGACGTCATCGCTTGTGACGGTCGAACTGTCACTTACGATATCAGTATGAAGGAAGGTGGTTTTTCGATTGCCAGAATCCTTTCTAAATTGATCTGAACTCTCTAAGTCTTACTGGAACCCATTTTCAGCGATAAGAGCGGTAATAAAACCAGCAGCAGTGCTAGGGTTCAGGGACCAATTAAACGTCAGTAAAACCAGTCCGGAGCTTACACTGTAGGTCTCTGTATGCCGGGGCTAGGTCGATATGTCGTTTGACTGCGTTCTCACCGGAGGCTAGGGCTTCAGTAGCCCGTCTTGCTCCTAGCATAACTGAGAAGCCAGTCAATCGATTTATCGACCTGGCACCGGTATATGAAGCCCTGCACAGCCATATCCGGACTGGCATTTCTGATGTCTGATTAGCCTCTTCATCTCATTACTTTTGTTTCGTTACAAATTTTATCTCTGAATATTGACTCCAGTAAGAGTTCGGAAGCTCAGATGAATAAAGAAAAGGTTTCAGCGATCGAACAACGTTTTTCTTCCCTACTTATATATACACCTGAAATACAAAAATCGCCTCACTCTACAAGATAAGTGTCGTTACGAATGCGTCTGGCGGGCCTGTCATGGCCATGGGTTCTAGGACTGTCTCCCACTGGTCTTGCTTCTAGCACTAAACACCAGATATGATCAAGCCTAAACGTTTCTGAATTTGCGCGTTCCTAGACGGTGGGTTCGACATCGTGCACTGCTAGGCAAAGAGAATAGTCCATAGGCTGATATTTTGCATAATTAGGCACGCTCATAATGATTTAATTTCCATAAAGTGGACGTTTTGAACAGCTGGACCGATCGTCTACTGTTTAACAATGTAACAAACAGTATTCTGAGGTGAAAATATTGATCTGATTCATGTACTTGCGATCGGGAAGTCAAGAACGGCCTGAAAAGGCATATGTCCAAGCAAGTATCCATAGAGAGATGTAGATAAAAATAATAAATAACAACACATCACCTTCTCTTATTCCGGATTAACTCGAAAATATACCGCTTAAGTTTGTTTTGTTTATATGCTTCTACTGAAGTAGTTATCGAAAAATGCAATACTTGACAAGTTATAAGTTGGTGCATAGGATCTTTCGCCATTATGTTTTTATTATGAGCAAAAAAATGTGCAGTATCCAAGAATGTTATTTGTACTGGCAAATGGTATAGATGTTAATGCTTGTAATTTATTCAAGCAGTAAAATTGACTGCAATTTGTGCGAGTATGGAGAAATGAATGCAGAACAAATTGTCCCACGTTGCTTCTGGAAGACTTGACAAAAAAGTGCACCTCCTGGTATTAGATATAAATATATCGCGTTTACAAGTATCTGGGGTGTTGATTCAAGTTTAAAAATTGACCGAAAAGTGTGTTTAGTTGCTTCTCTTATTTCAAGATGGAAACAAGTGAGTGCTGGCGGAGCCCAAAACCGGGCATTTAAGGCAGACTGGGACTAGTGAATCCCTTAACCGATCGGTGAGCACCTATACACTAAGGTGCATATCTCCCGATCTAAACCGACAAGACTACACGCCCGTCGTTAAATGGCTAGAATGTTAGGCTTCTACTCAACAGGTCTCGCGAGTTCGAGCCCCGGGTTGCGCAATACTTGGTATTGCATATGACTGATTGGTGACGGCTAACAAGCCAGAAAGAGTCATTTCAGTCGCTCTGCTCTTTGTCAGCAATGTTTTCCTGCCATTATACAAAGCGTCTTTGTTTGGATGCTTGAGGCTACAAGAAAGGCAAGAGAAAACAGACTCAAGAGGCAGATGCTCAGCCGAGCAGTCTGCCAGTTTACTCCTGGTATGGAGGACTTGTACGGCCACCTTAACAGAACACGGGGATAGGAACCAACCCGCCTACTTGAAATAAGTGACCTTGCGATAAATTTCAGCAACAGTAAAAATTCCGTGTCTTAACTCTAGCAATAATTTTAACATAAAACTAAGCTGGAACCATCAGCCTAAACCCTACTGTTAACACGCCCTTAACCCTTAACATAATTATGATCCTAGCCTTAAACCTAACCGTGAACTTAACGCTAACCCCAACCCAAATCTAATTCCCATGAAATTTAGCGCAAAGGCTCGTGTACTGGGGGCAATTGCGGCTCTCGTGTTCTGTTTAGGCGGCCATACACGTCATCCTTACCTTATTTTCTATTAATATAATTGAAAAAAGCCCGCAATATCAAGTTCACCTTCTCAGTCACCTTCAATTTTTCAACATTTGCCTTCAATCCCCCCTTGCCCTTGAACCATCAGAGTACATGCTCCCGGAGCTGCTTATTTAAAAATGATTAAGAGTGGGTAGTTTTAGTAAATATAACGTTCTTGCGTCTCATGTCATCAATTTCAAAGCGTAGGATATCCAGATGACAAAATCACTACCTAATATCTGGGTTTATCGAGACGTTTTAAGGCTTATTAGGTTCAACCTAACGGCTGCGATCTTCCAAGCCCGGTTCCTTAGGTGAGGAAAGAAGTCTTGGGAAGGCCAGATTAGTAGGAAGAGTATATTCTGTACAGAATAAATGGGAGCATTGGCAGTATGAAATTGACTATCAGACGACCGCACATTTGAAGGCCAGTGGATGGCGTCTGAAGTCACGTGTGCTCGGCAGTCGTCACAAGAGGTACTGTGTGCGTCGACTTGTGATTAGTTGTTCCAGAAGCCGGAAGTAGCAAGCGTTCCCAAAGTTCTCTTCGACTTGAGCTAGTCACGACAAGCGTTCGCGAGGGCACTTCGTGTGGAGCTAGCCACTGAAAGTTCACTTCATGCTCTCAGTAGTTTTGAAATTCAATCGGCTCCTACTATTCTGAACTCTGAATTCACTTGGAGGGGGGGATTATAAAAGAACTGTGAAGACAGTGCAATATTTCAAGTGAGTATTTGAATCCAATCATGTCAGCAAAGCTCTCTTAGATAGTAGGCAAGTTGTTTAAGTTAAGCTGCCTGAGTTTCACACCTGCTCACTGAACCTACTTTGCAGCATATCTTGATCACTTTAAAGGGTTAACATTGTAAGGTTTAAATGTTTTGACCAAAAAATTAGATGATGGTCTGTTCTGCTTGCCCAACCGGAGAGAATAGCAACGGTGTCTTCACTAGTCAGTGACCGAAGCATTTTAATTTTTGGGCTGGGTTGTTTTTTATTTTCATTGTCTATTCCTGTACAGATAATTTCAAAAGTAAGCAATTATAATCTTTTTAACGGGATAAAATACTGAAGGACATAGGACTACGAACCGCACATATAATGCGAGTGGCCTTTCACTAACCTTTAGGAAGGAAAACTTTTCCCCTGTCTCATTCAACCCTTAATCCTAACACTAACCTTAATCCTTACTCGAAACGTAGCCCTAGCCTTAACTTTAAAATTAACTCGAGGAATAATCTTCCTGGAGGTTAGCCCAAAGCCCTATGCATTAAGGAAAAGGTACCTATTCCCCCCAAAATAAGAAAACTTACGGGAAAGCTTAACTATCCTCGAGCAATCCTGAAGAAAAAACTCGGTCTGGCTGATTTAGAATGCGCTTCGTTCGTAATCTTTGAACAGCAAATTTGGATTCCAGTTTTTTTTTAATGTAGAGAATTTGTCATATTATTGCAAACGGTAGAGTAACATTTGTCTGTAATCCGTGCATCGCCCAGTGCTTGCGCTTACTGGATGACCATTTTGGTTTCGAAAAAAGTGTTTTTTTCTTTTTAAGTGCCCTTACGGCCTTCTGCTTGTTAACGATCTTTATCTGCATTCTGTGCCCAGCTTCAAACCATTTTTAGCTACGAGGCAATCTTCTCGGCAACTGAAGTACTACAAAATTTGATTTTTCGGAATGAGTGGGACACCAGGCGGCCGAAGGATCCCTGTTCGGTCGAAAATCCTTCGCGAAATGAGACCAGCTACATGTACACATTTGCCGAAGAAGTTCGCAGGGTAAGTCTATTATTACACTTGATGGATTTTCCTAACATATGCGGCAGAGGTGCCTGAAGGTAGCCTGTTTTAGTGTCAAGTGAGTGTTTGCTAATATATCCTTATGAATGAATGTACCAGGACCCAGGGTGCGATGCCAAGACCACATTCCGCGGCCGCATTGTTGACCTCAAGGCTTCTTCAGCTACCTGAATAGACGGGATCTTAAAGCTTCTGGCTCAGACTTGCGAACCATGAACTGCGGTTTCTTAAAATATACTCCATTATTGCCTCTTGTAGCACCTAACTAGTGGCTGTAATGCGATTACTACAATTATCAGCTCGGATCCCAGGTTGTTGGTAAAAAACAAAAGTCTCCAGAATGAGGGATTTATTGTGCACAGCACCCAGCAGTGGCCACTGGCGAAACCAGGGCTGATGTTGACTGCGTCCAGTCGTGCCTGAGGGTGATGACTGTGT